TGCTTATACCATTCCAAGAGAATATCTTTGACATGTTTTTGTTGTGCGGCTAGAGACACATTCAGTAGAGTGGTCAAAAGCATTGCTCAATCAATTTGTAATCCACTCTCCGTGTGATCTGGGACTGGTTTCAAGACCAGTTCTGTTCTTTGGCTTTGCATGTTCATATTGTGTTTTGATTCAATAAACCTTGCAATGTTGATTTTAGAAAAGTAGAACTTGGAGAAGAAGATACTGATTTCCCAGTGTACATCATGGTTGAGACCCAAGACTTCCTAAATTTTGTATTACATACATGTCAGTTTGATCCACAGTCATTTTAAATTCTTCAAAGGCAGTGAGCTTTGAGTGTTGAGAAAAAATAGATACAAATTGGACAATAAAAAAAGGAAACCACTATTTACCGCCCGCATCCAAAGTACCCGACGCCCCCATGCCGGATACCGCCCGGGCGGTAAACATGTTGCCGCCCGGTTTGATCTTAACTAAACATTTCTCAAATCTTGTTCCAGGCGCCATCTCACTCTCACTGTTCTTTGGTTACTTTTTGAATGTATTGAAGTTTTGCCGTTCTTTCTGTTTTTTTTTCTCCTCTACCTCTAAATTTCTTCTTTTCTACTCTCACAAAGGCACAAAGGATGTGTTTGGTTACTTGTTTAATTGTTTCATTCAATTGGCAGGCAAGAAATAAACAATCGGAGCGCGTGTCACAGCACGACAAAAGAAGCGGACTTTAGTTAGAAATGAGAGTAGATACAAACTCAATTAATTGATAAAATGAAAGAATCGGAGCCGGTGTCACAGCACGACACAGGAGTTAGTTGTTTTAGTTGATGAGAAATGAGAGGTACGATACAAAGCTAAGATCAGAGGGAATTCAAAACTGGCAGATTTGCCCAAACTTCCAGCTCTTGGTGAAATACCTCGATCCATTCTGGAACATGAGTCGTTTCAAGCATCTCCCAGTTTCGTGCCTTTCCATAAACTTCTGGAAATGGTACTGATTCATGCCCACCTCCCAAACTGACAAAGTGGTCATTGTTGACAAATGCGAGTATTATCGGAGCTTGTTTGTTGGGAGGTGTTCGATATGGGAAGAAGGTGTAACAGGTGCTTCTGGAGGGTGTGAAAAGTATAACCGGACGGTCGAACGCACTGGCAATGATGTACCCAAGGGTTGGCATCCTCAACCAGTAGGCGCTGGTGCAGGAAACCCCCTCATGATCAAGCCCACCTTGGATTTCTTGTACAAATTTTGCTGCCATGGATTGCTGAACCTTTGTATTTCTCCGGGGTCGTTTGGACGGTGTGGACATCAACTTGACATGATCTTGAGAGTATAACGAGAGTTCAGCTTGTAATTTTTTCCGGACCAATAGGTAGGCGTCTTCTGAAACATTTCAATCGATGCTGCAATTGCATAAAATCCACAATTCCCAAACGCTGGTGGATTATAAATCGATTTTATGTAAGGTGCAATATTTGCTGGGAGTTGTTGCAGCATCAAATCCTCGTTGGGTGTGAATGGTCGGTCTTTGTATCCTGGAGATTTCTCAAAACTGAGTAGAGGGAAAGATCCAAAAGAAGCAGGTGTGTATGGTGGCCCAATTTTTCTTGGGAGAAAGAAATGTGAAAACAGCAGAATTTTTTTTCCCTCTGTCCCACCCTTTCTCCACTTTAGGAGTCTTTTCTCTTTTTTATCTTAATTGCATTAGCTAGTGGCCACTCCCACTGCCAAAAAAGATGCCTCGGATTGGAAAATGTGAGGTACCCTTGCCAGCAGTGGATCTATAGGGGGTTACTTTAGCAGTGTTTTCAACAAATCCCTTCCAGTATTGTCCCAAACCTCACACGCCAATACTATTCCAGTGTGAAAAAATTGACAAGATTGTAAGGTCTTTAAAGACCTTCACTGGGGGTCCGGAGATTAATCCGGCACGACTCGCGGAGAGAGCACCACTTGGAACTTCTGTTTAGATTACGAACTAGGCCTAGCTCCAGATAGTCCAAAACAAGGCTCTTGAGGAGTGAGGAACTATCCAAAGCCGGCAATGAAATGAAAAGTATACATCAAGCTATGTCTAACCCCATACTGCAAACCCATGACCAACTGTCTACATGTGCACCTCTTACAAAGATATCATTTTCATTGGACTTTATTGGTATCTGGAGGTGTATTTATGACACTCCACTCCCTGTTGATGTTGTACTAAACACTGAAATGACATTGTGCTCTGTTGAAAAATAATCCCAGTGGTAAACAAAGAATTCAGAGGGACAACAGTGTAGGGCATCATTTTTGAGGTGTCACAGGTGAGTGAGGAAAGTAGCGGTAAGAGACTCTATAATTTTTCAACATCATTTAGTTGAGGCAATTCCAAAGACTTTTTGAGACCGGAAGAAGATTTACTACACAAACTCAACATTGTCTTAAACTTCAAGCAACAATGTGCTGTTGCACTGCATTGTGGGCAACCAAAGGTTGTGCACAACAAAGCAATTGAATTTTTTATAAAGCCAAAATATAACAAGAAAAGGTGACTTCCATTGTGTTGATAAATTTATAGGGTTTATCAAGAAAAATTAAAAGATTATTGCTTCATTAGTTGATTTGGTAGTTTTAGGGCAAAAGTTGTGGTCTCCCATATTTTTATTATATTATTACAATTTGATTATAAATTATACTTACACAATCCTTATTTATTTCTATTAAAGCTGTTCAATTTAAATCATACGATCATAATCAAAAAGAAGATCAGAAACTTCACAAAAAAGTCAAAAATGCAGGTATATTAGATGGAAAATGGTTTTTAGGTTATATTTAATTGATTTGAAGGTTCAGGAGGTCTTATTATGAAATGTATGATCATATTAGTCATCAACAACTTTAATGATGAGGATTGATAAGAGAGGAGTGAAGTTATTCAAGAAAGAGGGAAATTTGATGTTGTCATTGAGGGATTTAATGGTGCCAAGAGGTTTAAGAGTGATTTTTAGAGTTATTATTATGGATTTATTATTCAACAGTGATCTTATGATGTAAAATGAATCAATAGCCGCGTTCAAACCTAACCCGGTTGACACAAAAACCCGGTTACCCAGTTGCTTTTCTGGTGGTAACTTTGTGTATCCATTGACAGTTCTTGACAGCTTCCAGCCAAAAAGTCCACCGGGTCAACTGGGTTTTTTGAAACCGGGTCAGGTTTGAACACGGCTAATATTAGACATGAAAAGAAGTGGAAAGGTGTAAAAATCATCAAAAATGAAGGTTTTCAGCTGATTACTTGTGTCAAAATTTGTCAGATCATGATGGGTGATAGCTCAATGGACGCGGAATGTTACATTTCACAATGTACAAGCTTTAAACCAACAGGAGTGGAGGTTTTGTGAACATTCATAAGGAAACAAAGAAAATGGTGTGAATTTTGACTTTTGTGCTTACATAGACACATGTATTAGCAACATTTACATGACAAAAAGCTTATTTTATCAATCTCTACAGCTCAAGAAGGTATTCATTGCACATCAGAAGTAGGTCATAATAGGTCAATTAATGATCAGCATCATGAGAGCTGCAGAATGAGCAATAGTAATCCAAAATTGGTCAACTTTACAAAATCATTGTAATTCTCAAGATAGTTTTCAGCTATGAATATTAGGAAGGATCACCTGTATTCATTTTAAAAAGATCTTTTCATCATTTATAAACATCAATTTATTGATTTGACAGCTTAAATCAAGTCATTCATTTGTAATGATTTTACCATAGCATTACATTAGAGGGTCTTTGAGGGTTTTTGTTAGTTTGTGAGGTTGTTACCCATTGTACTATGTGGTATATAGCATCAGAAGGCAGAATTTTGCTGTTGTTCTCATTATTTCTTCATCATTTACAACATTCATTTTGTTTATCATTATAAACTTATGTTTTAATAGTACATCACTTGGATACATCCTTATTATAGCTGTAAAGAGATATTTACTTCAGTGTTGTAGTGTTGGGACTTATTTAAACTCTTTTGGAAATAATATCAAAAGGATACTGCACTTTTAATCTTAGTTATCTGAATGGAATAAAACTATAAGTGTTGAGAGACAATTAAAACTGTGCTATTTCATTGAAAACTTGTGCTTTTGGTTCTTTGAAAGTTAATTAAGATATATTTCTCTTTTGATACTTATCAGTACTTAATTCAACAGAAGTTCCCATTCCTTATTGTCTTGTTTTAGAAGGGCAGTCTTTGGACATCTTCTACTAGTCTCTTATTGGTAGATTGTCCCCTTCACGCTCTGTATAACCCTTGTTGGGTTATAAGTTCTACATTGACCGTTCCTCTGGTTGTTTGTGTACAGTGCCAGTGGATCTCATTGCTGAAGTGTTGTTGCGCCTGTTGAACGCCTCAGAGGCAGAGGAGAAATTCAATGCCATAAGCATAAGTGAAAACTAAGCACAAGGCATAATCAAGAACAATCTCAAACACAATAGTTGATGAACAAGAAAATGATAAGCATACAAATTGAGAAACAAACATTTGAAAATCAAAAACTACAACATCAATGGTGCCATACCTGTTACGGGGCCGCATTACTCACAGAGGGGCCACAACCGCAACACAACAAGGTAAAAGCTTACACCCCATGGCGCAACACACCGGGGAATGGTCTAATCTGGTGTGTGGTGTTGCATTACCTGGTTTTTCTGTTGTTCGGTGTTGCTGTACGTTGCATGCTCAGAGAAATGCACCAGCCCAATGTTCCAAGTCAATGTCATACTTTCTTTCCAGCATTTGAGATGTGCACAAGTGGACATCTTGTCTACTATATTCCAAGAAACCAGTAGAATTAATTCCATTATTGTCCAATG